GAATGTTTATGTGATTGTTGACCATGCTGTTTTGATGTGGTTTTTGCTAATTGTTGGTATAATTGCCCCACCACTTCTTAACACCTCAGAAATGTTAAACAGAGGATCCGAGAACATAATGGCATACCAACCCAGTGTAGCATCCTGATACCGAAAGCTGAATAAATCTGTATGTATGATCTCAAAGTCAAATTCAGCCAGGAGAAAATTCTCATTTAAAACTTGACAAAAAAAAAAAAAAAAAGTAATGTTAACAGGGAAATTTGGAACAGTGAATGAGCTAATGATTGTTTTTAGAAGTGTCTTTTTTTGTACTTAAGTAAATTGTCCTGCAGTGAAGTAAGAGCTAAATAGTAAGGTGATTGTTATTTCTTTTAATGATAAGCACCAGACTACTCAAACTTCTTTTAACTCAGTTTATTCTTGTAAGTCTGCAAACTTGAGCTTGGGCAGAAATCCCTGAGTTTCACTTGGCAATTAACTTGCTAGCTCCAGCAAGGCATAATGACCCCCAGGCTTCTTGGGAGAAGCTGCTCTTCTCGGCACGCCAGAAAAGGTAAGAAGCATTTATATACGGTAGCAATTTCAAGAGACCGTAAGGCAGGTTCTCAGAAAGGTGATCTAGGAATTGGTAAGGATTCAGCAGAAGACAGGAAGTAGATAGGGTGAAATGTGGAAGCAGTGCTTTAAGCTGCGATGCCACTAAACGGCTGCAAGTGATAACTTTCCCAGGAGGTCGCTTTGGGATGAATGGTCTCCTGTTGATTTGCAAAGTTGCTGTGCTCTTCTCTTGTAGCAAGTTTTCTGAGTCTTTAAAACAAACCTACACAATATAACGTTCAGGATACATGCACTTTGCCCGCTGGCAAACAGGAGGTAGTCCACCCGTAGGGAAATATTCAACTATAAGGTGCAACAGCACAGGAGAAACACTTTGTTAATACAGAACATCTGCAGGGCCTTACTAAGACTAAAAGAGTTAATTGCTGACCTGATCTGCTCTGTAATTAGAGAAAGTGTTTACAAATCCCGACCATGAGGGTAACGAAGATATCCTGGGCATCCTTCCAACCAATCTGACAGAGTTCCGCTTTCTGAAACTGCTAATTGGTAACATTTTGGGTTGTCACTTTAAGAAATCCAGCACAATGTTAACAGAGCATATTTAGTCACTTGGACATAAAAACTCTATTTGGAAATGCAAATGCATGCTGGAAATATTTTCCATAAGTAAAATGATAAACAACAGACAAATTGAAAGAAAGCTGAAAGTTATTTTAAGTATCAGATCTTTGATTGTCCTCATCATGGGCACACTAAATCCCCTTCCTAATGTGTCTGTTCCATATAAGGACAGCAGGAGCAGAGTGGTTATATTTAATCAGTGAAACAAAATCAAAGGCAATGGCATATGAAAGCATGTACTCTGTCTTGAACTGCTGACTTTTTTCAAGTTTTAATCATGCCTATAGACTTCTAAAAGCATACATGTGTCTTAGCATTTCTTTCCATTTCATAATAAAAGTTATATCAATTGCATATTTTAAAAATATTCCTCATATCTTCTGCTGTCAATACAATTTCAGTTGTACTACATAGTGCACGCTTAATTTTATTTATATGTATATATAGAAAGCATCAGAAATCTTCACATATGTGTATATATTTAACAAGTTTATACTACTTTAGTTTCACAGTCGTCTAAACATTAAAAGGAATCATGTAACTTCTGCTGAACATGAAGTCTTGGCATTACTATCTATTGCTGAAATAAGGTATGAAACGAGCTCTTTTCTCAGTGGAGATAACTAGCTGTACAGAGTATCAGCCATACAGATTTTGTTTATATGAGATGTAACCACTCCGGTTGATTTATCATATGTTTGTCTTCAAGGATTCTTGGAGTTCTGCCAAACTTCATTTCAGATTTGCTTGTCAGATTTCCAGTTTCTTGTATTTAATAAGGGCATCTCTAACATGGTTCTTAGAAACTGGTTTCTATGCAGGACTTTTACCCGCTGCTAGTTTTTAAAGCATCTTTGTGTGTTTCTGCTTTACTTTACTATTTCTTAATCAAGAAGAAATTACTATCCCTTTCTCCTTCAGGATGTCCAAGGAATTTTATTTTTATGATCTGTGGAAGTGGAAAGTATTTTCAATATATTCTGAGCATGTTACACTTCAGAATTTCTCTCCCCATTCTTCTGTGAAGGGGAGCAGAAAGCAGTGTTGATGTGGATGACTGATGTATATGGATTGTCACTACTGAATAGGGCTAATCACTAGAGAATCACTGGGAAAGCATTCTCTTCAGGGGCATGGAAGAACTCTCAAACAGGAAGATAAGGAACTACTATGATCTTTCTCTCAGGACAGGGGAAAAGGCAGATGTGTGCTTCCATACCTAGAAATCTGTTTGACAAATCTGTTTGACCTTTCTTTCTCACACCTGAGCAGAAAGATAAGAATCGACGATGTGATGATCAGGGGAGCATTGGAACAAGGCACGTCAAGAGTGTCCCTTCTTACAGTTCTAGCAAGCAATAGGTGGGCACTGAAAATGAAATTATTGTGCTTAATAGCTGAAGTTATTCTTCATTCCTTCATGTAATCCCTGTTTAAAAACATCTGTGCCTTCAGCTCCATAGTGCTTTGTCACAGCAAGCCAAGCAATTTAATAACACTTCATAAAGCAAAGTTCTTTGCAGCTGTTGTCTTAAACCTGCTGCCTGATCATTAGCTTTGTCTCCCTCAGGTCCTGTAGAATGAAAAATGGTACGTGGTTGTTTCCTCTCGGGTTCCTACATCTCATTAGTGACTGTATAAATCTGAAGGCAATCCCTTCACTGTTTCACAGTTGGGATTCTCCTCACATGGATGGAATTCCATACCCCTGACTATTCCTTTAGCTCCGTACGTTTTCTTGTTCTCCGTTTCCATATGAAGGAGCCAGAACCATACACAGTACTGAAGTACGCAAGAGATTTACACAACAATGTAATGAGCGATTCTACTTTGTTCTCATTTGCTTCTGGAGTAATTCCTAACATTGTTTGCCTTCCCAACTAACGCTGAGCAGCAAGCTAATGTTTGCAGAAAGCTATTCACAACAGCTCCCAATGAAAAAGGTTAATTTAGAGTCCATTATGCATGTTTAGCAAGGGTTGTTTTCATTGCTATTTAGTTTGCAGTTATGGCCATAGAATTTTTTCTGTCTGTCTCTGCCCACTTGCTCACTACTGTGAGGACCTTTTATAGCTGCTCATGTCTTTGCTTTGGCTCTTACAATGAGTATCACCGGGAGAATTCAGAGATTACTGGTCCTTGCAGAAGGAATTTTAGGCTATTTAGGTGCAACGATTTTCACTCAGAAGTATTCTAAATAATTCAGTCCAAAGGAGTACTCGAAGATAACCAGTGATGTGCTTAGTAGTCAGAATATGAGAGAGAAACTGGAGGTTCACCTGGTTTGCTACTCAGAATGGAGGACTGCAGTGTCCCAAATGAATGCACCAATGCTAACAACGAGCAGCAGTGGAGAAACAACACTACTGCTACGACAGGAGAAAATATCTTTGCGTAGAAAACTGTTTTACAGCCTTCTGTTAGAAGGAATGCTTCTGGATAATTATGTACGATCAAGAATTGTCATTTGAAAGAAACACTTTATCTGCTTTTCTATACATTTTAAGTGTTGGCAAGTTAGGGAAAAAAAATGCAACTCTATAGGATACCCGCTTAGGAGTTTAACGTTGAGATTGTTAGAGAACACAAAAGTTGTTTGAAACATGGCAGATAATTACCAAATACACATTTCTGTCCTTGGTTTTCTTTTTCAGGTCGGTAATGGTGAGTGGCCACTTAACTGAAATTAGTGGTGGTGTTGAATGCTGTCCTTAAGGGATGATTAAGAGCTGTGTCCTTTATCTCCCTGCCCTGTTCTTTATTTCATATAGGAGAAAAAAATTAAACTTCTGATATTAAGCTTTAAATAGTATGAGATTTACTTAATACTTTAAATACATACTTTAAAGTATGAGATTTTTCTTAATCTGTGTTTTTATACTACACTTACTTTGATGTCTCCCTCTCAGCATCAGCTGTGGCAATGATTACATATACTTTTTCATTTGGGAAGCTTCTGCTGGACTAAGGAGACTGTGTCAAGAAGAATTGCTCTGGCTGTCTCAGCTTCAATAGGAAAAGAGCCAGGACTTTGTATGACACAGTCTGCAATATGGTCCTTTGCTGTACAGCAGTGACACTCAATCTGGGATCTCTAGTTGAAGAAATGAGGGAAAAGTTAAAGCATCATCATAGAGCCTGTTTACCTCACTTTAAGGTAGGGTCTGGGCCCAGTAATTGCATTGCTGGAACCCACTAAGTTTTTCACTACTTTTTCTATGGACTATGCCATATTTTTTTCCCTTTGTATTACTGACATTACCACCACCATTTCTTTCTCTGGGTCTTTTAATACCTTTTCATGGATACGCACGCATCCTGGCCCGTTTGGGCGACCCGTGGCTATCGGCTGCAGCTGTGCGTGAGCGGCCTGGCTTTCTGCCGGCCGAGGTGGGACGGGGGAGGGATGGCTGTCACGAGGGCTGTAACGGCAGATCTGCAGGAAAGGAGGTGAAAAAAAAAGAAAAGAAAAAGCAAGCTAATGTAAACCCAGGGAGGAACGTCTCGCGGTTTGCGAGAGCACCTGGCGCGTGTCTCTCCCAACCTCCCGTTATCAGAGGACAAAGAGCAGCGGTGGGGCGGAGCGGCAGCGCGGGGCCGGGCACGGCGCTCACCGGAGCGCAGCCACACCGGTGCAGACGGACCCCCGCCGCCGTCCCGGCCCCGTCGCTCCGACTCCTTTCCGGCGCGGTCCCCCCGCTGTCCCACGCGTCACCACGTCCCGCGGCTGCCCACGTCCTTTTACATCCATCCCCACGCAGACCTGACGGCGGCCGCTTTCCTGATGCTCGCTGCCCGCCGCAGCCCCGCTTCGCGACTCCACGATTCGCTCCGCGTCGTCCCCCGAGGCCTCCCATCCCCTCCTGCTGGGCCCCTCGTCCCTGTGGTAGGTGGGTGAGAGGAGGGCACCTTGGCGGCGGGCGGGGGGCGGCGCGGCGGGGCTGCGGCGGCGGCGCGACGCGGCTTCCCGCCCCCTCCGTCAGACGGGCGGGGAGCTGCGGCGGGCGGGAGGGAGCGAGGCAGCGGGAACGGCGGCGCGCAGCCGGCCGGGCCGCAGCGGGGATGCGCCGCGGATGCCGGAGAGGAGGTGGGTGCCGAGCGGCGGGGTGGGGGCAGACCGCGGGGCGCTGCGGACATCGGGGCTCGGCTGTGCCGGGCCCGGCGAGAGCCGTTCGAACGGTGGAGGGGTGGGAGAGAGCCGGGGCGCGGCGACGGGCCCAGAGCCGGAGTCGGGATCGTGTGAGGCAGCGGGAGTCGCGGGAGGCACGGACCGGCGCGAAACCGGAGCACCCGGAGCGGCCGTGATTATGTAACCGGCAAAGCGGTGCTGCGGAGCGACCCGGCCCCGCTCCCCCGTGTGCGGCTCTGTCGTCTCCAGTGCGGTGCGGCTGGAAATGCCCCTGTAAACTCTGCTCCGCCGCGGTGCGTAGCGGGGCCGTATGGCGAAGTTGATGCACTCTCGGGATACCTTTGTGCTTGCAGTCTCTGCCTCTCTCAAAAAAAGCAGGAATGGCCTGCTATTCCTCATTTCTAGCAGTGCTGCAAAACGCTTGCGAGCTGTTTGAATACGCACAGATCCGTTATAGCGCTGGTTTAGCAGTCATCCGTTTCCCAGAAGTGCTGATGCTCACAGCGACCATCTGACGTGGCTTTGCCATTGGTTGTATTTTATAGCTGCTTTGGCGTGTTGCAAGAGCACGATGTTGCCGCTCTCCCCGAAGCCCGGCAATGCAGATGCGGTGCCAACGGCACGGCCACCAAGAGAGCTCGCTGTGCTCCCTCAGGGCCAGGTGGGGGCTCAAGGTCGGGCCGAGCTGCAGCACACCTTGTGAAGGGTGACATCGAAGCACACAGTCCCGCACAGGGGAGTGACGTGGTCCCTTAAATATGCTCTCACAGAGTTGATGAAAAAGCTCTCCAGCGAAGGTGTGAGGAATTAGCTATTTCAGGAGAACAATTAACTATATCAGCTCAATTTTAATGGAACTAGTACATTTAATTGCATTCTTAACAGATTTTCTATTCTCTGGATGATTAGCTTGCAGAATGATACCAGCTTAAAGATTAACATCTCATCAAATATCTGATGGTTTCCATGCCGCATAATTGTGCTTGGTTTATATTAGCTTTTTTCTAATGACCAGCCTTTGTCTATAGTGCTGTGGGTTCTCTAATTAAACTGTTTTCATCTTGGTATGGATGACATGACCTTGACCTTAGTAGCTAAGCAGACGTGGTGGTACTGGTGACAAGCTTAACAGGACATTTATTTTTATGTGCGTGTAACACATGGGTCTTTCTTTCACCTTGGTTAAAAAAGTTCACAGAAGAGAAAGACTGCTGTTTCTTTTCTCTCCAGTTAAGATAAATTAAGCGATATGTACAACCTAAGTGCTTACTATTTAACATACTCTGAAGAGGTTTTTATTTGAAGAGGTACCTTCGGTGCTACTGTAGTTCCTCATGCCCATGTGTTCCATCTCTTGCAGGGCTCCTGTGTGCTTCTTTGCAGGGCTGGTGAGCTGCAGTGTAGGGCTGTTGTCAGTAGTGTTTCTTGTCACTGGCTCTTTGTGTTCTTTGCCCATTTGTACCCTGTGTATGCGTGTCAGAGATGCTCCAAGTTTCTATTGCTGCTTTTCTCATGTTTATTTTGCATCAGTTCTGTGCAAGGATAAGAAAACATTGGTTGCACTTGTAGAAAGGAGTGGTTCATTTCAAGTGCAGCTGTAGAAGGGCTGTACTATGTGCACATGTGTTTGTTTGGATGAATTGTTTATCCAGCTGATACCAGTGTAATTTTGCTTGCAGGTGTTAAAGGTACTGTGTGACTGAGCAGCCAGTTTGGACTTTTCTGCAAAGATACCATGGCCATGGGAAGGTAAAGCCTTGGTGGGACAGCCCTATCCTCTTGCTCTCCTGCATGTTCTGCTGGAGATGTGTCTTCTTTCTTCTGCCCAGGTCTGAGATGAAGTCAGAGAACATTCACATTTCCACTTCATTTTCCTTCAGTTCTTTTGCATGTGTGTGTTTGTCCCTTGGTGCCTCACCTTCCTGCAGTATAGTGCCTCTAGGTTTCTTGATGTGACAGAAGTGATTGGCTTTGCTGTTGTATGCCCAATGCATGCAGTATTTGCATGGGTTTTCTCTATGTTGTTGTTTTTTGTTTGTTTTTCTTCATATATTTATTTAGTTTTTCAAGAACTTAGGCTTCTGGTATGATGTGGTTTTGTCCCAGGAGATCTGCATTTCCCAGGGGATGCTGACCATCAGGCCCATCCTCCTAAACATTCTACTATCACTGCTCCCAGCACGGCAGGGGGAGATAAGAGGAGCTGCCAGAGGGGTGTGTGTCTATGTTCATGTGTGTGTGCATACCTTCAGCAGCCTGTCCTAATGGTTTAGTTAACCCTTAAGCCATACACATGGTATAGCAAAATATTGTCCATTTTCTCCATCTGTTCTAACATATTTCTTTTTAAACACAGACCTATTCTAAAACCCAGAGGTTCTTTTGCATGCTTGATGATAAAAAGAAGGCCTCCCAGTTGTTTTTTTTTTTTTTTCTCTCCCAGTAACTAAATGCTTGCAGTTTTTGAAGCTTTTGATGATGTCTGGCATGGGAAAAGGCAGTAGTTTCTGTAGATAATTTTCATGGGAAATGTTACTCTGGGCAATTGCACTTTTAAAAGGAATTTCTCCAAGAATTTCCTCCAGGGTTGTGTTTTTTTCTTAAGCTGGCTTTTAATGAGATTTAAAAAATCCCTCCCACTGAAATACTTAAGCAAATGCTTACTTTGGGTTTTTTTCTTTTATCAATATCAAAGTTGTAGATGTCAGAGGAGGTAGCAGCAGGTATTGTGTTCAAATGAGAGTAAATATACTCAGGCCATGTGAAGGGTGTTGTGTTTTTGGCAGATTCCAAGTACGTCTTTGTGATGGGGAAAGTCCAACTGTGAGAGGTGCATTGAGGAGGAAGTGGTGAAATGAAATGGCAGCTGAAGTTAGCTGAATTTGGTTAAAATACTATGGAATATTAAAAATACTAAATTATAGTAGCATGCACGACATGAGTGTTGGTGTTATTTGTGTATGTTTGCAATTAATTTTACTGCCTGTATACCTATGTTTTCCAAGCTGTAAATACAAAACTACAGCTTTCAGCTGTTTCCTGTATGTCAGAACATATACATGTAGGCAGTGAGGAGCTTTCTTTGAAAAAGAAAGTGTTTGTGTGTCCTGGTGAATGGTGTTTGTAGCACATCCCTCTCTTAGGGCTGTTCCCTTCAGAAGAGCTTTTCAATGCTGGCAGCTGATAAGCTGGTCAAAGGGAGGTCAGCTGAAGTGTGGAATATGGGAAAAGAACATGAGGGTTGTGATGCACAGGCAGTCAAACTAGTGTTCTTTAAGGGAAATTCTGGGTGGAATATAATAGTTAAAATAGTAAGGTAGGGAAAAAATGAGTCATAGAGAAATACTACTGACAACTGCTGAACATTGGAGTTTAAAAAAGAGTGGAAGGAGAGGGGTCTGGAACCATAGAATTGCAAAATGTCCTAAGTGAGAAGGGCCAAGGATCATCCTGGATCCATACAGAACCACACGAAAGTCAAACCTTGTGTCTAAAATAATATAGTATAAGTTTGGAAAATAAGTATTTTCCAAATACTTATTTAACTCCAGTGGCTTGGTGCTGTGACCACTGCCCAGGAACTGTATTACAGTTGTAATAGCCTAAAGATTAGATGAGCTTTTGACTCTTCAGAATGCTTCAGTATAGCAGAGAGAACAGTGGTGTTTTGAAACAAAGTTAAATAATTTTTTTTTTTTTTTTTTTTTGAGTTCCTCAAAGGCAAATAAATTTTAATACTAGTGGAGGGCACTTCTCTTGAAGAAAAAAATGGATGCATTGGTGTATGGTTACTGCTGAGTCACAGCTTGAAGCATTGATTGAGCACCTGGGGAAAGGACCCCATCAGTCCTAGGAGCATAGGTGAAGGCAATTCAGCTGTGTGACCAGAAGGGGTGGAGCCTGGCTGCACCTGCGCCTCTCTTAGACCTCATTTAAGGGCTGACTGCCGCTAGGGAAAGATCTTTGGTTGGTAATCCCTACCTTCTGGAGTTTTCCTTGTGAGCCTAGATCTTCAGATGTGGGTGAGCATTTTTCCTTTGTAATACCGTTCTATTCGCTCTTGTCCGTTTGCTGTTATGCTCCCCTATCACCCTTCCACTGTCTTTCTGATTGTTGTAGTTCACTTGAGCTGTAAAGAAGGTTGCATTAATTCATCTGTGTTAGATATTATCTTCTAAAATGCCCTCTTTTCTAACATAAATGCTGTTGTTTTGCTACAGAGTTTTTCTATGTGACTTGATGATTCTGGCTGAGTTATGGAGTTATGTTTATGCAAGATTTAAATATATTAGAATGATGTGTTAGATCGTTTTTGGCAGTACAGTCAGGCTCAAACTTGGGACTGCTTTGCTGTGGAAGGTACTAAAACCAAAGTAAGGGTGTGTGAGAATGATATGTAAATCAGCTTGAAGATACCTTATCTTAGTCTGCAATATCCTTTTTCAGGTGAGGAACTGAGAAGTTTTCATTAATTGATAAAATAAGCTCAGGTTGCCTTAAAAGAAAGGTCTGATGAAACTATTTTGTGCTATTTTGTGAAGGCTGTTCACCCACTGAGAGGAGACCAGGGCTTCATCTGCCCAGCTGTTGCTGACCTGATTAGTCCTAGATGAGTTGGAAAGTGAAGAATCAATAGAATTTTGCTTTGTAGTTGTTGCTAACTTCACAGTTTTCATAATACATTTGGAGTGAGAGACCAAAGAGTTGCAGGAACTGGTGATGACTGCTAGTTGGCCTGAGATGTGGACTATGGACTTTGAGCTCCCCTTGATGGCTCAAGCTGCCAACTGAATAAGAAAGCAGTAAATAATTAAAACTTGAACAGTGGCTGGGGGGGAAGACAGATACAGGACATGCACATACCTTTGGCACTTAGAAGGCAGAGCTGGAGGTGGAATGGCCTGGTGGGAGGCTCAGGCCACATGGCCACATCAAGTTGATGGAAATGAATGTCATGTTCCCCTGGGTCCCTGGTGATGGTCTCCCCGGACTTCGGTTTGTGGGTGTGTTTCATAGGATGGCAAGCTAGAACAGTTGTTTGTGGCCACCTATTGCACCCCTCCTGTTTAATAAAGCAAGACTAGATTATGTGCTACTGAGAGGTACTGAGAAGGTGTATTGTTTCTATTCTTGCAGCCTATTCCACTGTCACAAATCCAACATGGGTGAGATAATGCTAAAAAGAATTTGGGTCAAGAGAAGTTTCTGTGAACATCTCACAGGAATGATTCCAAGCTGGTGATTTTGCTTCCGTTTCCACCTCTTGCCTGGCAACCTTTTCTTTTATGTTGTTAGCCCTGTTTGTGCAGTAAGACCACAGATAGCCTCCTGACCACACTCTGCTATATGAGGATTTTGATGCCTGAGAAACTCGTGGTCTTCTTCGAGAAAGTAACTTCTAACTCCTTTTTCCCATCCTGTTTTTCAAAATGGAGTTTCTTGTTTTCTGGAAATTGTTGGCACTGTTAGTTGAGAAATTGAGAGGAAGGAAATCCAGATAGCGGCTCATCTTCTCAGTTTATCATCTTTGAGGCTTTGGCCACGAGATAAATGTTTCTTCAATTTACTTTCTCTAGTTGGAAGCCTTTAGAAAAGTAGCGTGGCACTACTTATTTTCTTTCTTTTTATGTCAAGTACTAGTTAGTTGTTTTGTCATCTGGTATAGTTGATCTGGGAAAACTGGAAGGACAAGGTCACTGGTGAAGAGCTACAGAAACAGTAACAAATGTGCCAGTTACAAGGGCTTTCAGCTCAGCAATATGAAGCTGAAATAGGTTAGTGACAAATTCTGATTCTTTCAGAGTGGAGCAGGTCAGATGTGAGAGAAGGTGATGTCTGTCAGAGGAAAGGACACCTGGTTGAAAGAAAAAAGGTTGAAAAGAAGACAGCTTGTTGAGATTTGAAACGGGCAGTTGGTGTGGAGTCATCTTGGGGTCTCTCTGACTCCAATATGAGCATGATGTGCCTCTCTGGAAAGTAATTATGTCTGTATGTTTCTTGGTTTTAATATGTTTCTGGAGAATAGAGTTGCAGAACATAGTTGCTGAAAACAGAATAGGAGTGATATAAAAATGGAGCTAGAGGTTATTCAGAGGGTGAGTTTGGATGTAAAGTACCAGTGTGCCTCAGTACTAGAATGTTAGTTCTGGAGCCACGCAAATTCTGTATCCGTCACTGTAATGGTTGCTGATGCATAGTCTTTTTTTTTTTGTTTGTTTTTGTTTTTTTTTTTACCATGCTTCTGTCTAAATGAAATTAGTCTCTCTGAGTTCATGTACGCTTGACAACTGTGCTTTTTCTGTATGTGAACTCCTGGTAACTATGGCCAGGCAATAGCTGCCACCTGCTGTATTGATTTTTGGGTAACACAATTGCAAGCAAAAATAACCAACTCCCTGGAGGAAAAAAAAAAATTCTCTAGCCTCTCCCTGACTGTGACCTGTATTTGTAGATACACTGTGGGCAATTAGTTATAAAACATAGGATGGTCTGGTGAGCTGGCTTCTCTGTCACCTCTATGGCTGGCAGCGTACCTTATGTGTGACACTGGTGGTCAGTTTGCTGAATGTGATTCAGAGTGATGTGCAATGCAAAGTCTTTAATAAAAAAAAAAAAATGTAAGGTGCTTTATTATTTTTAATTTTTATGTTTTAAACTAGCTGCACATTGCAGTTTGAGGAAGAAAGGTATGCCTGCTCTGGTCACCATAAGTATTGCTGCGTGACTGAACTCATAATGGCATGAGTGAC